GGATCTTGGGCACGCACACACACACCTGGCGTGAGTCTAAGCCACTGGGTCTGGGACTCGAACCGCGGTCAACTACATGTGAGTTCAGCGACATAGCCATTATGCCAGCTGCTGGTCCCAGGTGTTCTTTCTGATGGAATATGAAAAGTACAACATTTACTCAGAAATAACACTGTTAAGTTTCACATTGTCTTGGACTGGGAACTGAAAATTTTATTTACCTTCTTTTACATCTCATTGCCATCCTCTCTTTTTAATATATTTACCTTCTAAATATTTAGAGAAATATTTAGCTATTTAAATATTTAGACATTTAGAACTATTGATATATCAGAAAATGTAGTACTTTTTGCTTTAACTATTAAACATAATGAAGAAAACTCAAAAGAAAGTACATTTATATTTTTGTTGTCTCTATTGTTCTTTTTCTCCTTTCTCACATTCTAAATTCCTTCTTTTCTCATTTCCTTCCTGTTTAGAGAATTCCCTTTAGCCATTCCTCTGAAAGATTTTTCTGAGACACATTCTCTTAGTATTTCTTCATCTGAGAATTTCTTAATTTCCTCTTTAGTACACGAAGATATGGTCACTGGGTATTGAATTCTGGGTTGACAATTCTTTTCATTCAGCAGTCAATGTATGTATACCACTTCCTTCTTACCTCCATGGTTCCTAATGAGAAATCTTCTGGTATTCAAATTATTTTCTTTTATGGCTATGTAGAAATGGTATCATTTCTCTCCCATTGCTTTCTAGATTTTTTTTGGTATGACTTCTGTTTTCTGAAATTTGAGTATAGTTTGTCTTTTTTAAATGTTTCTTTCATGAGAGAGAGAGAGAGACAAAGTAAGACTAGCACCCTCAATGGGTCTTACACCATGATCCTCCTCCAGCCCTCTGGCCAGCTAGATCATGGGCACATATTGCACACCCACTGTATACAGGTTGACCAGGGAACCAAATATTGATCTTCCATAAGACCACCAGCATTATGGAGCACCATGCCACTGCTGTACCATCACACCTGATGCTGAGTTTGATGTATCTCAATGTGGGTTTTTTTTTTTTTTTTTGGTGGGAGAGATTTTTGCCATAGGGTACATGTGCTTGCCAAAGAGACAGAGAGAGACAGAAAATAAGAAATAAACTCCCACAACCTACTGGAGGGTGGCCACGCCATAATCACTTCTTCATTCTCCTCTCAGGATCTTGGGCATGCATGCACACGCCTGGTGTGAGTTTTAAGCCACCGAGTTCAGGAATAGAACCACAGTCCAGTACGTGGGAGTCCAGTGATGTAACCTATGCCATCTGCTGGTCCCTCAATGTGGATGTTTTCAAGTTTATTTTCTTTGAGTTGTATTTAGTTTCTTTAATCTGTTTTCTTTTCTTTTCTTTTCTTTTCTTTTCTTTTCTTTTCTCTTCTTTCTTTTTTTTTTTTTAGCATTTGGAGAAAGTTTTCAGTATTTCTTCAAATACTTTTTCAATCCCATCCTCTTTCTGTTCTTTGTATGGAATACCAATGGCATGAATGTTAGGTCTTTTGTTATAGTCTCATAGGTCTCTGAAGCTCTGAATATATATTAATTTTAGGCTATTTCCTCTCTGTTTTTAAGATGAAATTATTTCTGTTGTTCTTCAAGTTCACTGATCTTTTTCTCCCTCTGTCTTGCAAATCTGCTATTGAGCGAGAAATCACCTCCTAGGGGGGATGGCCACACCACAATCCCTTCTCCATTCTCCTCTCAGGATCTTGGGCACACACACACACGCCCCCAGCATGAGTTTAAGCCACTGGGTCCGGGACTCAAACCACAGTCGACTACATGGAAGTCCAGCGACATAGCCATTACACCAACTGCTAGTCCCTCAAATAAGACTTTATAAAGCCATATGATAGGTGAAATTATAGTTCCCCAAATTTGTACATAACCTGTTCCCTGGGACCTGTGAATGTGCCTTACATGGCAAAAAAGTTTTTTTTTTTAATTATTAATTTAATTTTATTTATTCATTCATTTATTTTAATTTGACCAGAGAGAGACACAGAGAAGGAAAGAGAGAGAGGGAAAGTGAGAAAGAAAGCCACCAGGTCCAGGACTCAAACTGTGGTCAGCCATGTGGTAGTGTCCAGCACCTCAACCACCATGCCACCTGTTGGTCCCACATGGCAAAAAAGTTTTTACATATGGGATTACAATAAGAATCTTAAGAGGAAATCTTGAATAATCTGATTAGGCCCAGTCTAGCCACATAGGTACTTAAACTAAAGACCCTTTTCCCAAAGTGGTCTAAAAGAGAGATGTAATGACACAAGAAGGTTGAAGAGATGCAGTGTTGTTTTTGAAGATTAAAGAAGTTTGTAAGTGGTTTCTAGAAAATGTCAGTCAAGGAAGCAAAATCTCTTCTATAGCTGTACAAAAGAATATAGTATTGTTAACTTCTTGGTTTTAGCTCAGTGACACCTGTGTCAAACCTCTAATGGTTAGAGTAGGATAGAGTACAAAACTTTAAGGTAATAAATTTACATTATGTTAAGTCACTGTAATTTGTTACAGTCGCAACAGACAACTAATATAATCATATAGTATTCCTATAAAGCCATCCTCAAGTCAGACCTCTGAGACTAATAATAATCTTATTTCATTTTCAAGAAAAAAGTATAGAAATACAAATCATCTCATGATGTTATCATTGCTTATATTCTTAAAAACAGTAAGAATTCCAAAATGAGATAACATATGTGCATATTTTATGTACTTGGTATTGTAAAACATAGACAATAAACATCTATTGAGGTTGTTGGAAACTGGAGGAAAAGGAAGAGAAGTGATAAAAAATGTCATTTTAATTAATTAATTAATTTTATTTATTTATTTATCTATTTTTGGAGAGGCTTTTGCTACAGGGCACATGCGCTCTCCAGAAAGACAGAGAAAGACAGAGAGAAAGTGAGAAATCAGGGACCAGCAGTTAGCATAATGGCTATGTCACTGAACTCCCATGTAGTCAACTGCCGTTCGAGTCCCAGACCCGGCGGGCTCAAAAATTACT